AGATGAATGATATTTACACATTGGTTCCAGGAGAAAGCATTTTTTGGAAGATGCAGGATTAAAAGGAGTGCAGGAGGAGAGGGGAGTTCCACTGCATCTCATTCTTTAGCCCTAGCTACCCTGAAACTCACTATGCAGCGTATGCTGGCCTTGAACTCATAGGTCATGTTCCTGCTTCAGACTCCTGAGTTTTGAGATTATAGGCACAAGCCACTAGGCCTGCTCAGCTAACTTTTTGATATTCGCGTCAAACATCTTATGGCCTTCCAAAAGGAACATCTATAAACAGTAGTATTTAGCCCATGTGTCCACCATGTCTATTTAAACTAAGAAATTTGGTGGTGACTAAGAACTAAAGAGCAGATTATTATGAGATGATAAAAGGCTGGATCTGGGGATCACTCTCTTATGACTTGGGGTTTTTAAATGTTCCCCAATAGCCAAGCACTAACGTTTGGCCACCAGCTTATAAGTATGTTGAGAGATGGATGATGCTTGGTCAGAGGAACACAGGTAATTGTAGGGTATGCATTTGGAGTGGAATTGGAACCCCAGCCCCGTATTCTTTCTCTGTGCTTCTTGGCTGACAAACCCTGAGCAGCTGTGCTCCATCAGCACGCTGCTGTGAGGCTACATCTCAGAACAATGGTTCCAAATGGACCATGGGCTGAAATCTCTGAAAGAAGAAGCCTTTCCCTCTTTCACATTGGTTAACTCAGGCGTTCTGTCACAGCGATGAGAAGTTGACTAACAGACTCCTTCTGAACCTTGATCATTTGTTCTGCCTGTGTCACTCAGCAGACGTCTTCCACCTGAGGCTAATTCACGCTGGTTAAGAAGGAGAATTCTCAGAACAGAGTCAAGCAAGTTGCCCCTTCTGCCATGGCAACCTAGACTGTAAAAATAATTGCCACTGTGAGTCAGGAAGCACTGTCTCATTGCGAAGGATGGTTGGAGGGATGCAGTCAGCTGCCTGTGGAAATATGAGAGTGGCCTCTTGCTCCCACTCAGTGAAGATGGATGTTCCGGTCAACTATGCTGTTTACAGGCAAAATAAATACCAATGATGCTGTTCTGTAAGACCACACAGGAAACCAGTGTTGGCATATCTTATGTCTGCTCTGAGGCTATGACCTAGCAAGGTAAAGTCACAGCATGTCTAATATCACAGACCTTCACTACACATTCTGGCAAGGCCCTGATGCTTTCACATAGGTTTTTTCGGGGTTTGAAAGAGTCACCTAAACAGCATCTGTCATTTCACCTTAGAAGGGCACCATGCGATTCCTGATCTGGAGGTGACATTTAGGACCCTGAGGCTAGAAGCCCAAGCATTTTAACAAGTCACTAGGTAAATTTTTAGTTTGTTTGTCTGTTTGTTTGCTTTGAGGTGTGGTGGTTTACATAAGAATGTCCCCCATAGGCGCATATATTTGAATGCTTAGTCACCAGGCACTACTTGAAAGGATCAGAGAGAGTAAGAGGTATGACATTGTTGGCAGAAGAATGCCAAACCCAGAATCAATCATCAATCTCTCTCTGTCTCTCCCTCTCTCTCTTCCCCTTCCTCTCGCATTCTCATCATTCTCTCTATGTGCCTACAGATCAGGATGCAGAACTCTCAGCTCCTTCTCCAGCACTATGTCAGCCTGCCTCCATGCTCCCTGCCATGCTGATAATGGGCTCACCTCTGAAACTGGGAGCAAACCCGCAATTAAATGCTCTCTTTTATAAGAATTGCTTCAGCCATGGTGTTCCTTCACAGCAACAGAACAGTGACCAAGACAGGGGCATATTCCATGGTGCGTATGCGGAGGTCGGAACACAACCTGAAAGAGTCAGTTTCCTCCTTACATCATGTGAGTCCCAGGCATCAAACTCAGGCCCTCAGACGCAATGGCCAATAGCTGTACCTGCTGAAACACTGTGCCAGGTAAAGTTTAATGTTCCCTGTGAGAACTAACTCCCTGGACTGACTCAGGCATCCCAAACCCCAGAAAGATGTTTTATTACTAATGCTAAGGTTTTTGGAGCCAGAGCCAGGGCATCACATTTCCTGCTCCAAAGCACGAGCTAATGGACTGTCCACACCCTGCTCACCTGAAATACTCACTCTGTTCCTTCAGCACCACAGAGGAGGGCCTTACTTCCTCTCTTCTCTGTATGGGACTCGAAACTCTACTCTTACCCTGTTTAAGCTTTAAAGGCAGGATCACATTTCTATATACTAGTCTTTTCTTTTGCTCCAGTTTTCTGTAAAGGAAAACAATACCTTTAAAGCATAAGATACTGGAAATAATGTGCTTTATGCTTGCACTAAACATAATTCCTTTTCCTTCTTTCTGCCCTGAGACTATCTCACAAGCTAATGAGTGAGAGTTGCAACATAGCACAGAGATTTCTCCATTGCATACAAATAAAGACAGGGAGCAAAATGAATTGTGAAATGAAAATGTACACATCTATGTGCACATCCTATCATATTTTCTTCTGCTTTCCTAGCAATATTCCTTTAGGATTTCCAACAGGAAAGTGTAGGGGCTCCTTTATAAGGATGACTATGAAAAACAAAACAAGCAAAGGATTCTTAGTTCAGCATCCAGCAAAAAGTGAGTGTTCCATAAGTCCTAGCTGTAATAAATAGACAAGGTCATTCTGAATACATGCCCAGAGCTTGAAAAATTCTTTTAATTAATTTACTCAAAAACATATTTTTTCCCTAGGGCTGGAGAGATGCCTGGGCAGCTAAGAGTGCTGACTATGTAATCATGATGGCTACAGTTTGGATCCCAGCACCCACATAACAACTGGGACATCCTCTGAGGAGGGCAGAGGCAAGAAGAGGTCTCAGGAAGAGACCCCCACATCAAAGGACTAGGGAGAGTGATAGAGGAGGGTGTCTATTTGCCCTCTTCTGGGCTCTAAATGATGAAAACATGAACACACACGCACGCACGCACACACACACACACACACACACACACACCACTTGTGCATACACTTAGAGATGCAGCATAAATACACACAAATAAACAAAGAAATCTTTAAAAAAAAATTACCTGCTCTTCTTTTGATGGAAAAACCCAAATCTCTAACAGTTAAGAGTATTACCCAACATTGCTGGGTAAGAACAACACCAATGTTTTCTAAAGAACAATTCAACATTCTTTCATTCATTGCCTTATGATATTCTTGCCCAAACTGCTAACTGAAATGTGTGGGGATAAGAAAACCATAAGATTCAAAGCATACCAGACATCTCAGAAGCATGCAGTATAGCTAGCCAGACTTACAGGAATGAGTGACACAGCCCAAGGCTTCGGTTATCAAGGTTGGGTCCTGTAAGACTGATTTGGGTTTTACATAGCCAATCTCTTTCTTGTGTCGGTTGCTTATCTTAAATAGCTTCTTCTGTCTCTCTTATATTTTGTTACCTAAACACGACCACATTTGAGATTTTGGCTGCTAAACACTAGCCTTGAACCCAGAGGCACTGAAAAAAAATTTAATTTCTCTCCAAAGTGGGGGGTGGTAGGGAATTCAAAGACAAGCTATTCTCTTCACTAAGACTATAAATCTGAAAGTTACTTGTGTGTTTGAAAAAAGAAATAGATCACCACAATATTTTAACTTTGAATCCCTTTTTTTACTTAAAGGGAAAATAGTCTTTTGTTTCTTACCTATTAATTTCCTAGTAAGTCTCTATCTTATCTATTTAAAAAGACTAAGAATAATAATAAAAAGTCGCCTTATGATTGCTAGACACAAGGCTTTGTTAAAACAATCTTAGAGTAAATGAGGTAACAGCAGGCTCTTCGTGTGACATCATCTCGATTTTTTACAGCCACATTGGCATTCTGTCCATGAATCACCAGTGCAGCGATGACTTCATTCTCCAAGATGAAGAATAATTGATCTTAACCTTCGCATCACTTTCCTTTAACTTGGAGCGCTAACCCAATTGGTGGCAGAGATGAATAAAATGTCAGTGAGAAAGGAATGACATTGTGAAAGGTTACCTCCAAAGGCCGGAAGCACACACTTGGGAAATTTATGAAACTCCCTTCACAGAGTGTCATTGAAAATAGCCAAAAGTTTTGTATTACTAGGAGATAATCAAATGTTTTTTGTGCATTTGTTGTATGAGAAAAGTTAAAACCTCAATATTAAACACAAACCCCCACAATTCGGAGTAAAATGCTGTGTAAAGGCTGATTGCTTTTGCATCCAAGTTATTAATCTGCCACCACAAGCCTGATATGCTAGTAACCTTCTTTGCTGAAGTTAACTCTTAATTCCAGTTACCCTAAGTGACATGCACAGCTTAAGAACATTCATTTGACTCTAGCTGCCTCCTTAGTTACTAAGTCAGTTCCTGTTCTATCCCCTGCTTTCCTTTGTTCTTCACTGACTGGTGTTATTTACCATACAGCGCACGAGAACATAACTGTCTTTGTATTTTGGCCTGAGAATTTTGTCATGCTTTAAAGTCAACAATGGCATTGAGGCAAACATTTCACAAGTTTTCCAAATCTGGCTCTATAGAGGTAAGAAAGTTTGCTGGGACTCATCTTACATTTAATATTTCCCCTTCTCAAACTAGTGGCTTGCAAATGTATGTTTTTCTTTTCTTTTGTACACAGAGTGCTTTATCAAGACCAGCTGATACAAACACCCACTACCGTGCACAATTCTGCCAGTGTGTGTGTGGTTGAACACACACACACACACACACACACACACACACACACACACAGGGTGGCTAGAGCTGAGCAGCCTTCACAACTGCTATCCCATGACAATGGTCACACGATGCAATGCACTGCACGCTTTGCTGACTGACACCTTAGGAATGGATGCACTTTACTAGTTAGGTGGCTATCCAGCCCCACCACCACCACACAGTGCAAACCCTGCAACCTCTTCCCCCTGACTCCAGTTACACAAGTACTGTCCCAGAGCCAGCCCCCAGCTGCAAACTCTCCCGGGACACCACTCACCTTGCCTACAATCGCAGTAGCCCCAGTCCACTTTGCCTTGGGCATTCTGATAGAAACACCAAGGTCTGCCCGCTCCATCCGGGCTCCAGCAGAAGTTGTGAGGCTGCCCTCGGAGCTCAGCCCAGCTAGCCGGAGGCGACCGCTCCAAGAAGGGCGGCACCTTTGCCCAGTGTAGACACCGGACACCGAGGTCGGTGGTGTTGCCCCACAGCTCTCCTGCCCCGCAGCCTCGTGGGAGCCTCGGGGGCGTGTGCCGGGCGGTGAGGACCTGAGGGCGCTGGGCAGCCGGTACCCGTGGCGGGAGCGGGAAGCGCGGGGTCCTCGGTGGCCGCCACGGGCTGGGAAGAGGGTGCGCGTGTTGGGGACGCGGTGAGAACGTATGCGGGCGATGCAGGGGCGAGCGCAAAGCCGGATCAGCACTGGCCACTGAAGGCAGCACCCCTAAAATCACAGCCAGCAAGCAGCGGGTGAGCGCCATGGCTGTGGCGCCGAGTGTGGTCCATGCTAGGCTCCGGGTCCCCGCGGAGGGGGCGGGGCGGGGCCGGCAGAGTCCTAGAGCCCCCTCCCACGCTCGCGCCGCCGCCCTGCTGTCCCGGCCTCGGGGGCGGCTGCAGGATCGCTCGGGACCCGAAGGGTCGGCCCTGGGAGTACAGGCTGGAGCTCCAGGGGAGACTCTGTCGCTGGCTAAGAGCACTCTTGCCCTAAGCCCGACCTCCACCCCGCCCTCGGCTGTCAGCCGGAGGCTCAGAGCCGGCACCGAACTCCGCTGACTCTTGGTGCCAACGCGGGGGACGGTCTAGGCTGCCGGTGCCAGCAGGCACGCACCACAGCCCCGTCTGGCGGCTCCCGCCTGGCACCGGTCCCTCCCACTCTCGGTCGTCCTGCCTGTGTTTTGCAATCTCTGGAGAAATGTGGATGGAATTAGATGCACCTCTCTGCCTTGGCAACCCTCAGGAGAGAAGTTATCAAAGCCCACAAAGGAGTGTTAAAACCACTTTACTGAGCTCAGTTCTTGAAGGACAACTGCAGGACTCCAAGCTTAACACCTTGTCCCAATGAACATTGGCGGAAATGAAATGCCGGGGCAGACCCAGCAAAAGGAGCTTGAGCCTTTCTTCCTGCCTCCCACTTTCCACCAGATCCCTGGACACCAGTTGTTCTGTTTTTATAGGGACCCATCCCAATCTCCATCCTCCACAAAAGCTATTTCCCTGTGCCACCTGCCTCCTGCCTGCAGGGCCAGGGCTTGAGTTAAGCCTCTTGGTTTGCTGCCTCAGGCAAGAGCTGAATTTCTTTAGCCGAGCTTCAATCAAACCCCACTCTGCGATTTTATAGTTTTTGTGTATTTCAGTACACCCCTTCCAACATTCCCCCCTGTACCACTCCCAATCCTGTTGGTTTAGGACTTTAAGAATTAGCTGGCTCTTGACTATGCCACGAAGTTAAATAAGAAGCAGGAAGCAGGAGATGAAGATGACAAGCTTGCTTTCGGGAACGATCATGTTTCTGCGATGAAGGAACTCTGTTCTGCAATGTGATGCAGTCTCAGGAAAAACTTAAAGGAAATGTAAACGCCTATTGTTAAACCCTAGGTTTAGGTCACTAGCTGGGATCCCTGCACCTGGCTTTAAGGAATCCAGTTTCATTTACTATTTCGTGAGTCATTTTATTGTGTAAAGTAAATATTAAGAACTCAAGAATGAGCGCATTTGTCAAAAACTTTATTCAAGTTTTTTAATTAATTGTTTTGATTTTTTTTTCCACTAATATTTTTCTGGCTCCAAAAACATAGTTAAGACTGTACTTCGTTTTTGGTTTTTTGTTTTGTGTTTGTTTTTGTTTGTTTGTTTGTTTGGGGGGTCATTGGTGTGTGTGTGTGTGTGTGTGTGTGTGTGTGTGTGTGTGTGTGTGTGTTTTGGGTGTTTTTGTTTTTTAATCTCAAGACAGCCCTGGCTATCCTGGAAATCACTCTGTGGACAGGCTGGCCTTGAATGCATGGAGATCTGTCTGCCTCAAAGGCATGAGCCACCACCGTCTGGTAAGACTGTACTTGTGAAAGAGAGTTAGACAATATATATCTGGGTTTGTCACTTTGGTTATTGTGGTAGGAGCTGACAGAGCCAGTCTGTCACAGAATTGTGACATGGTTAAAAGCAGTTGTAGTTCAGGCCAGTCTTTTTGCTTCCCCGCTGTCTCTTCCCATTTGGGCAGTACCTGATGTCCCAGGAGATGCTGTCTTAGCCTCCAGACTGGCTTTCTTGGACTTCAATCTCCTCTCCTTCCCCCATGACTTCTACAACCATGGTTACCACACTTCCTAAAAAAAAAAAAAAAAAAAAAAAAAAAAAAAAACATAAATCAACCACCACACATCTCTTATGCACCTTGCAGACAGGGAAACAATGACAAAGAGAAATAAGTTAACTAGTGAGATGATTCTGTGAATACAGTGCTTGCACAGCCCCCATAAGCCTGAGGGTGTGAATTTGGATCCCCACATGAGAGGGGACAGGGTAGTGCCCATCTGAAATTCAGAGGCAGATGGCGGGGTGGAAACAGGGGTATTATCCCTGAAAGTTCCTGGGCTAGCTAACCAAGATGGGGGAGGGGGGACAAAAGAGCATGTCTCAAACATAGTGGAAGGAAGGTCTGAGGTTGCCTGCTGACCTCCACATACAGGCTATTACACATGCATAGACACATCCGCGCGCGTGCGCGAACACACACACTCAGCATGCATGCAGAGATAAAGAGGTAAGAAATTGTTGGAAGTCAGTTCCACAGCACAAAGCCTTGGGCAGTCAGGCCAGTCCTCCTGCTTCCTGTCCCAAAGAGGAACTAACACCTTTCTTACGTTTAACTTTATAAAACTGACTCACACAGGGTAGAGTTATGTAGGAAAACTCACATCTGGATTTCATAGCTTTGCTTTCAAAACCCACCTTTCTTAGAAAATAAAATGGCATTTGTGTAATTGGAGCATGGATTGGGGGCCTCAATTTGGGTTTTGCTTTCTGTTTTGCAAGCAAAGTATGATTTAATAGTCTGTTCTTTTTATATTATGCTATCCCCTGCCAGTGTTTTCTCTCTCTTTTGTCATCCATCCTTGTTGCCACAGACATGCATACAACTGGGACTTCTAAGTCCCAAACTCATTCCTGAAATGCATCCCAGTCCTTCATCTCTACAAGGCCAGACCCTAACTGCATCTTCCACAGATTCCTGGCACGCTCTGTCTCAGATTTTACAGCTAGAGAGGAGAGCAGACAGCAACTCTGTCAGGATTTCATAGTTCATTCTTTCTCTGCCTTCCATTCCTCTGAGCACTTATGCCCTCTCACAGATACTCCCCACCACAACACTGGAAACCCCACAGCAGGCCCCCATAATATTCCTTTATCACTCCCAATCCAGTAAACGCATTGATCTGTGGCCCAAGAATTCAATTGCTTAATTTCAAAGGTTACTATGGCTGAGAACCGGGATCATAATAAGAGCCCCAGGGAGCTGAAGAAAGGCATCTCTGCTATAGCAGAGAGAGTGGGTGGTACCCAGGGCCAAAGAACACACCTACATCCACACCTCTCCAGGTTCCTGGGTAACTTTTCTGTAACCATTATGCTTCGTGGTGGTTTATGGAATCATTTTACATCTTTCTTTTTCTTTTTCTTTCTTTTTTCTAGACGGGTTTGTATCATTTGATTTGGAAACACAGCCAGTAAGTATATTATTTTTACAATTACAAATGTGAATGTCTAAAGTAACTTCTGGATAAGGACCATTTATAATTCAAATAGTGCCTGTATTTTCAAAAGCTAACAGCTTTCAAACAGATGGTGTAAAAGCACTGTTTACTTTTTACAACCCCAAATGCAATAAGCGTATTAGAAAAACAGTGGTTATTACTCACCCATATTAAAAAGAAATCAATATCAGGGCCTGCCTTGGGGCTCTGGGAGATTTGAAACTAAAAGGCATCACCAGACTTGCAGGGGTGTGAAAATACAGCTCCGTGGAACTCTAATGCTTAATTAAAGACTGAAATAATAAAGAAATGGCCCAAATGATTGATAGTATGGTGGGGGCAGTGGCCCTGTTGTCAGGAAGTGTTTAGTAACGGGGGTCTGTGCCTCTTCTACCAGTTGCTGTTTCCTTTGCTCTCCCTAAAGCCACTGTGACCTGATGATCAAAGATTGGCACAGCAGTACCGGTCACTGCTGGCTTTAAACAGAAAGCTCAAGAGGAAGCAGAGGGCTCAGCCTGCTTCGCTGGGTTCCCGGTGCACGTGGGTCATTTGAGCTCCATTTTCTTGTTAAGGTTGAATTTTACAACACAGACTTTTATGTGTATTTTTTAAATTTAGTTTTTACATTCCAATCCCAGTTCACCCTCCCTCCTCTCCTCCCATTCCCCCAACCCCCTCCCTACCCTGCCTCCCACCTGCTCCTCCAAGAGGGTAAAACCTCCCCTAGGATATAACACCGATCTCTAAGTTTGAGTTTACATTTAAGATTTATTGGAATTTCATATAATTTCTATACAGATGTTGATTCTGTAAATGTGCACTTGAAGCTAACCAAATTGTATGTACAAATAGGGGAGTAATACAAGTTACTTTCACTGTGGACTTAAACCTGGGCTCAGTCTGGCTGAAGTCATTAATATCTGAACACTGGACACCTCAGCTCACTTCTTTAATCCAAAAGTTACTTGTCTGTAGAAAGGGGATACCAGGGGACCTTACAAGTTACCTCTGGGAAAGGTGTTTGAATGAATCATCTCCCTTCCTTAAAACAGTTTTGCCCGTACAGTCCAATCAAAATGTTATGCCTGAGGAGTTTACATAAGGACAATGATCAGTTTCAAACCTCCCTGCCTTCCAGTTGCAAATCAGCTGATCACTCATGAGCAGGTAAAGAGATGGCAGAAAAAACAGCAGGCAAAACGCTTGCTGGTGGTCTGGGAATTACAAGAACTCAGCACTGAAAAGGACAGGGTACCAACTTCCAGTCCCAGGAGGAATCCTTTCCCAAACTTCCAACAATTGGCCCTCTACATCTTTCTTGAAAGCCAAACATGGGCAAATTCCTACTTGGAAGCCAGCTCACTCCCTCTCCAGGAGGTCTACAGTGTCTGAAAATTATTGACTTCTGGGGAGGTAGGAGTAGCCTCCAGGGCGAAGCCAATTTTATCTCGCTGTGATTCTGCTAGCACTGTCCTGTGGGAGGAGAGTCGATATGGAAAGTGATGGCTGTGTTCTAGTGTCCAGTCTATATGGACCTATGTGAACTAAGGCTCAAGTCCCTATTGTTTATTGGTGTGTTGGCCTTCTGAGGATGCTGGCAGCTCCTTCTTGCCCCCCACTCTTCTCCCATACTCAAGGACCAATTTCAGGAAGGTGCAGAAACACTAGCTATTCCACACACTTGGGTCCCATGAGAGGATTTACTGTGTGAGGTACAAATAAGTCAGTGTGATTTAATGTCTTTTTCTTTCTGTTCATCTCTGAAATCTTCAGAACCATAAATAAAGCTGAGGTTAGGAATGGGTTGACGGGAAGGGAGGAAAGAGAGGCTATGGGTTGTTTGGCCTGCTTGTTTTCCTGAGGTAGG